GCAATAATTTGGCTCGAGCGTACGAATAAAAGAATGCACCGACATAATACAGCTCGCATGCGATTTTGCATCCGCCAAACCCAACAGAGGGGAAATTGGAACATACCCTACGAAATGAAGTAACTTTCCGAGTAAGTATTAATGTTTGGAGAGATTCATTCCAGGGAAATTGTGTTGCGCTGCGAGACTCAGTTGTGTGACGGACTTTGGAACATTGTTTTCAGTTTTCGAATTACATTTTTCGTGTCAATATGGTAATTTTGCGCATGCATACGAAGTGGTTTAGTTGGCGATTTTGTGATCGCGCACTGATTCTCCTGTGATAGGTTTTTTCTGCGATACATGTTAGAACTTTTTTAGAAATGTCAATGATTTATTGCGCAAAAAGCAATGTAAAATTTAAAAAAAATGCTTTGTTTTTAATTCCGTGAAGTTTTGTTCACGAATTTTGGGCCTGCTATAGTCCGTTTCGTATTCATGGACATGGTCTAATTCCGACAGAAGTTAAATTTCCCAAAGAGAAGTATTTGACAACAGACGGAAAAAATGTGTATGAATGTCGCTATGGAATTTCTGATGTGAAAAGCGAAGGTTTTGTATTTTAAAAAGTCCCAAAAGCACGTTCTTTGTACAACATTATTAAAAGTTTTTCAGCTACCTCAAAAACATTTCGCACATTTATTACGTTAAATGCTTAAACTAAAAGCACTGGTTGTTAATTATTCACACATTTTTATCTTATTTTTCACTTGCTACTTTGTAATTTATACTACATTATTTAACTGAATTAAGTTTTTGATTCTATTTATTCCTACAGATACTTATTCATTCATTTCAAACATATTATACTTATTTTTTTTAAATGATGGCTGATTGAAATCAGTTGTACCTAAGTTATCACAAATAAATTCCTCGAACATTTTCGTCGTTCACGTTTATTCAAAATTCAATTGCTATTATGATTCAATAATGAATCGTATCGAACCTCCGCTTTTCGAATCTAACCTCCGAAAATATTGAAAACGTGAAATGTCACCTTTTTACTGCTCTGAAAAAGAATTTCCTTCGCCTACTCTCGTCATCACAGATAAGTTAGAGGTTGACGTGACATCAGCGGAGGGAAGTGAGCGTTATCTGTAGTCGCAAAATGGCGGTAAACGTTTTGGCGGTATCGAAACTCGTTCGATCGGATCATTGGGCCTGATAAATAAAATCGATAGGTTATTTTATCGTGTGGACGCAGTTAAATGTACCNTTGGCTTTGAAACGTCTGCTATGATGAAGTTCCAAGTAAAATCTCGCCTGAGTCCCAAGTTCAGGTGTAACAGTGCAGGTCCATAAGTGTGAATGACAGAGTTGTTCGCTGCGACGAGATCATACTTGGTCTTAGTACAGGGCGTCTTGATAGCAGATCGCGGGAAAACACACAGGTCTGAGCCAGTGTCCACGAGGAACTGCATTTTCGATGTGCGATCCGTAACGAAAAGACGGCCTGTTGCAGAGGGGCAGTCGTGGGCCGCTACTTCCGACCGCCCTTGAAGTTTTCCGACGGGAAGCTGCAAGGCTGCTTACACTTCTTCGCCTTCGTACCGTAGGTGTAGTGGTAGAAGCAGTGTGGATGGTCAGGCGGTGGTTGTTTTGGTTTGGAGCGGCTGCGTGAGCGATTGTACCGGTTATTTTGAGATCTCGCACTTGATCTATTCTCCGAATCCTCAATCCTGCTAGTCAGCATAGCCACTTGCTTGGTCAACTCTGCAATCCGGTGTTTCATGTCGCTGTAGGGAACTGCAGCAGAGGAAGTGCTGGCGACTTGCGGGGCTCGCACGCTGACTTTTAAAATATCCTCATTGCCCATTATTACAAATTCGAAAAATCGCTCACCGCTTATGACCACACCGCGGCCTTATCCTTTTGTAGACTTTTTCCAAACTTCGACTGCTTCGGAAATTCTCCTTCTCCGTCGTCGGGGTCACCAGATATGGGGGTTATTTGCCAACAACCCACCATAAATATAACTATGTAACACCTAAATGTACTATTAAGGAAGCAATAAACTTATTGAGTATTGAGTATTGAGTATTTATTTTCTCTAACTCGAGATTATTCTGTAACATAGTTTCAAAAGGTAATATGTGCTCGCGATTCGTTGAAGGAATCAATTTGAAAACTGACGAACCTTTTCATTCCGTGACTGTACCTGCTATCAAGAAGCCTTTCTGCAGCAATATTATAGTAATGCAAGAAGCAGAAAACACGTACAAGATATCTTTAGACTTTATCCTGAAAAATAAATTACTTAGACCTTTTCAGCTATATTTCGCCAGCAATTAATAACGCTTTTACAAACTATTTTCTTAGCAAGCTTAATTGGAAAGTCACTAACAACATTACCAAAATTTTTAATAATTTGCTTAGTTAGTAGAACATGAAATTATACCCTATTGAAGCAAAATATAAAATAATTACAATGTAGAATAAACAATCCATTTCCATCGTGTCGGCACCCTCCAAACATTCAGTGCAGACGTCTTTATAATTTCAAACGGCTGTTAACTACCTTCTCAAGCCCATTTATCAAAAAGCAAGCGCGACCTTCACGCCGTGACGGCCCTCAATAAAGGGCCCTTGGCTCGACAGCACTTCGGGGTCAACGACCTTTAACAACGGTCCTGATAATATCAATTCGGAACTCATTAGTCAGAATTCTTTTGATCACTGTTCAGTTTGACTTTTAATGCTTCAGTTAATACACGCGAAATTACTTTTAAAATTAATGCCCTTTTATAAGTTTTCTGTACTGGAACTGAGTAAGGTTTCTGTGATGCTTCAGGAACTTTAATTGAGCATCGCATGCAAATTTAATTTGGACGATTCGTTTGACGACCGCTTTGATATTTCAAATGGTACTGCCATTGTGCATTGCTGTGAAGTATTAGAATTTTGATTAAATGGTTCCACCAATTTGGAAATTATTGAAAAGAATAATCGACATGCGAGTAACTTTCGAAGATCAAATCAAATTAAGTAGCTATTTAATTACCAAGCCCAGAATATGTTTGCTATCAATATCTTGCGTACCTAAATCAAATAGAAGATCACAGTATGTTAATTAACTTAAAATAAATTCAATTATTAATAATATTTTAACTTGCTAGTCAGTCATGCCACAGAATAATAATATGGTTAATTGGTTATGCTTCAACTGCTAATTCAATACAGACTTGGAGCACAAACAACGTAAAGTTTGCAGTCTATTTTACTTAACAAGCTACCCAATCTTCGGCATCCCAAATTGATTACTTCATCCCAGACTCAGTTGATTAGGGCACAGAGTTGAATTTAAAACACGGGCTACCGATTGACAAAAGTGTAATACCACATATTTACATACAGGGTGGAAACGTTAAGTGATCTCACTTGATTATTTCTAAACTATACAAGATATCCATAATAAATGTATGCCAGACACACAATATTAGAAGTGTGTTTTTTTATTGAAAAATAAACTCGTAAATTGTATTCTTCTTTAAAATTATTCATGGAAAATATTAGTTTTAGGCTTTACTTGCTATAATATTGTCAAGAGATGAGTGTCATGACTGCGGTAGTACTAAATGTATGGAAGACGGAAACATTGAATTTTTTGATAGATCCCGTTTATTCTGTAACCTAATATTGATACCATTGGATAGAGCTTGTGAAGCACTTTTAGAATCAGTAATTAGTTTTACGATATCATGTGTAGTTAGTTTTTTGATATCTTGTATAGTTTAGGACTAATCGAGTGAGATCACTTAATCGTTTCCACTCTGTACCTATACATTTCCATACTAAAAGTCACTTTAAACAAGTGTTCAACGAGTGAATAACTTTTATTAGTAAGGGGGATAATAACTAAGTGCCTTTTTCCTGTGATGCTAATTACGACACGCGTGCGGATCTGGGTATCAATCAATCCAAATTTGTCAAACTCCATACAAAAAATACCGGTTATCGTCATAGTTAGGTACATACTAATAAAGTTAAGTGGTGCAACTCAGCCTAAGTTTTTTTTACTGAACAATGAAACTTATAATAATCGATACATTTATTGCTACTTCAAACTCATCTGACATAAAAACATTCAGCCACCTAAAATAACCATCATTTAATTTTGTTTGTTTTTTTTTCTACTAAGGCTTACATATTAAGAGAATAGCATCTGATTGTCTCACATATTCATACGAGTACAACATCATGGCCTCAACATCATCGCTACGAGTGAAAAGGCATTTTGAGCAAGCTCGTTCTATCTTAGGCAGCTTTCTGCAATTTAATTGTGCTCAAGAGCAAGGCTATTTAATGTTTAAAAAAAACCTTTTGAACCTTTGCTACATGCCTGGCGTAACAATTCAAGCTCAACGTGACGTTTCCATACAAATTGACAGCAGTGCGCGTGCGAGCGTTAGACAGCTGTTATACTGTATGGAAACGATACACAGGCTATTTAACCGTGTCTTTGCCTAACCATAAACAAAGAAAGACTAGTAGATAGCGAAAAGATGTTTGATGTTAAAACTGGGTCATGAAAAACTCATTCTTATTATAACAAATACATTTTATAATAGTCTGCATAATACCTAAATTGGATGCCAACATAAAGAGGATTTTTGATTCAAGTAGGTACTCTTAAATTTTCAGATAAATAATAAAAAAATCTGTGTAATTTACCTTTTAAATTTCCATGTTGTTGAATTAAGAAATAGTATCTTTGTAAATTTAACGACTGTATAGCCTAATTTATACATATAGCCTCGTATTCACAACATGTCGCCTGACATACCATCATAAAACCTGTCAATATACCATGATACTGGCCGGTTTTATGATGTCATGTCTGTCTCGTTCTTGTCAATACGAGGTTTTAACCACTTGTTGCACTACCTCTTTATGTCACATCCTTCGACATTCCCCACTATACCCCATTTATGACGGCAAATAACCTTGTTTATTATTCGCAGCCGACGAGAACGGGTCGATATGCGAGACCATACCGGACCGGCCCGTGGAGATCAAGAACTTCCCCAAACTGTGCGAGCAGCGGCGAAAGTTCCCGGTACTCTACAAACTAGAATTCCAGGTACGTGACCGCTACTGTTGGTTAAAGAGGACTTATGTCGTATACAGTCGAAAGTACGTAAGAGTAAACATTCTTGTCGACTTATGTTAGAAACAGTTCTAGCGCCGTTGCTATTGGCATCGCGGCATTATGCATTAAGTACAGACCGTTTAATGCATAATGCCAGACCAGCAATGCAGAGACCAGCTTTTTGACATGCTCGTAAGGGCATGACAAGATAAATGCTGAGGTTAAAAACAAAATAAACAGTGAAGTATTTATCATCATAACAAAATCGATATCAATAAAATAGCCCTCTTTATAACCCTTTCACAGCTGCTCTCAAACGAGACACAATACGAGTAGTAAAACCATAAGGAACGAACTATAAATGTATTAAGTGGACTGTTAGACTGTTAACATTACTAACACCAACAATAACAATAACATTCGTTTGTGGAAACATTTCATGAGGTCGAAATTCCTTTCAGCGGTTAAAATCAGATTTACAAGTCGTGTACTCCCGTACTTTAAACTCAAGCAGAAGTAGTTAGCACAAAACCAATTATACAAAGGCAAAATGGAATGCCCGTTATCCTCTGTTGCAATTTTAATTAGATTTTTGCATTCAGATCTTGAAGTTTCTTTTTGCAGTAAGAAATTATATCGAAATATCTGGTTTTAATTATTCGTTAGTCGAAAAGAATGTTTGTATGTTTATTGGACTTAAGTAGAAAAAATCTGTACATTCAGTACAACCAACCAATCAATAAAACCAGTTAAGTACCTACTTATGGGGTAAAATTATAGATAACATCATTTCAAGGCTGATGTTGCCCCAACTACTTCCTGTACGGAATTGGATTTCGTTGCCATAAAAAAAGGTTCAAATAAGAATAGTAAATAAAAATAGTACACATTGTACAACTGCCTGTGAACATCATGTGGCTGAAATGATGATGATGATGACACACTGTATAAAGTACAACTCAAACCCACACTCATGAAACTGACGCGACGTCATCCATAATTATAATATCATCAACGTACAGCTTATCAACACAAATAACCCACCACAATCTAAAGCCGCCGCGCGCCGTATTATTGAAATCACCACATCAAAAGCTTTGGTGGATAAATCAATATTTCCTAATTAATACGGTGTGTTCGATCAACAACGCTCGTCGCACTTGATTAATATTCAAACACAAATACTCAGCTCTAAAAGTCTTTGTAAGCCATTGACGTTTACAAATCAAGACTAAATCCAGGATTGGATAAATAATGGATCCAGCGTTTTCACTAATGGGGTCGTGTTTTTGTCTGGAGCTTTTAATTATTAATTTGAGTCTGACTAGGTATTTTTGTACAATCGATATTATCCCGCATGTGAAGAAGTGATTTTTACTATAAATAGCAGCAGAACCTGCACTTTCCTATTGGGGTGGTGGACTGCCCTTGACTGATGACTAGTTATGACTATAGCGTCGTCTTGATTTCCTTTTCAAAATGGATCTTATAATTTCAGTTATTTAACAGTCTCACACTACATTTTCACCAGAAAAGGCGAGCGAAGTAGGTTATACAGACATTAAGTCGTCAAACTACACGTAACTAATGCAGGTCTCTATTACATTGCAGCTCTGCTGTCTCCTCACTTTTGAGCCATAAACATTAACATAAATAACGCGACACCAACCAGCGGGGCTACTCCGAAAACGCTATCCGAAGTTTCTAATATTGCCATCCTACTCACGCAAAGCAAGACGCTAGTATGAGCGACGATGACAGATAGACCTGAAACTACGTTAACTTAGAGTAGCCCTCCTGAACTTAAGTGGCATCGTAACATGCGACCTAATCTCACAAGAGCAATATCAATTATCCCATAATTTCCATACAACAGACATTAGTGGCAGTGACACAGATAATCGCCACCACATTGTTTTATGCCCCTTTGGTCCCCGGCCAAGAGTCTCCATTACACAGACCTAATAACTCAGTGTAATGACTTCGGAGCCAATGGTGAGAGAATGCTGCTTTCTTCTTTGGAACCTCATTTGGAACGAACTGCAACTTCTTGTGGATGGGTTACCTACAACACGAAATGAAACACGAATCAATTGACACACTTTTTATGAGCTTTTATCTTTTATTTTACCTACAACACGAAATGAAACACGAATCAATTGACACACTTTTTATGAGCTTTTATAATATTTTGATCATAATATAGAAAATTGTTATTTCAGTCTGCAGTTGAAACTCTAAAAAAAAAAAACAAAAAATCTGGTAAAAAGATTTTAAAGTAACTCAAATCCCAACAACATACTGAAAGAAGTTACCAGAACATAAAATACTTAGCGAACTCCTTTTAAATTCACTTCCAGATGGTATCAACGTCAAATTGAACTTCTACAAAGTTAGTTAGACGGGCAAAGGGAATGTAGGTCAAGTGCTAATTCGCGATGCAGTTCGAAGTGCCGGGTATTCGTCAGTTGGAAGCTGCACTTTCTGGGCCCTACTTAAAGTTATAGTAAAACTATTCGACGACTGACCAGCATATTTCATAACTTAAGAGGGACTTTACTTTAAAAGCGACGAAAGAAGCGACAAATTAAGGTGTTATCTTCAAAATATAGAAAGTAGAAAACTTAATTGACACAACATTTGCAATAGAATCATAGTAAGTTCAGAATGTATGACAACGACACTATTTCCGTGAACACCCCTGTTGTTGACATTGCTCATCCCTTCGAATAAATACCTATCTCTGTCAAGTTCTATTTACTCTTAAGCAAGTTAGTGCGGTGTCGTTCAAAATAACTGATGAAACGTAGAAAGTATGACCAATAGATAGGTAATCATGAATCGTATTAGGTATATCATATTTTATATTTTTGTCAAATTGTACAGTCACGGAATGAAAAGGTTCGTCAGTTTTCAAATTGATTCCTTCAATGAATCGCGAGCACATAATACCTTTTGAAACTATGTCACAGAATAATCTCGAGTTAGAGAAAATAATCTTTAACTGTTCGTCAGTAAAGTTCAAAATTATTTAGATCAAAGTTGTTTGACGATTTAACTTGTCAAGAAGATTATTATGATTGATAAACTAAAACCTTGTTGGTTCAACCTGCCATATCTATTAAATAAAAAAAAACTACATTTTGTAACATTGCACTGATGGGATAGAAAAATAAACAAGCAAAACCTTATTTGTTAGCAAACGTCATATTATTTATTTAAATGTTAGCAGCACTGTTTCTTGCTGTTATGTTGGCAGGTTTGACTCTTACAGTACCTAGTGCAAGCGAAAACCGACACTAAGGTGACGAACCTTTTCATTCCGCGACNTGTCAAATTGTACATACACTCTGTGTCGCAATGTGGTCAAAATATTATTTTAGTATAATTTTAACATTAGAGCTCCAAGTTTAATCGTTATTGTTGTCGTTACGTGACCCCAAAAGTTTATGAAAAATAAGCTGCGATAATATACCAGAGAGGATTCAGAATGAGGGGTCAAAATTCATGCGTTATAATCTGTTAATTGTGTGCGAAAGGTCTGCTTCGCTAAAACGTTATTGCTCTAACCGCTTGCGAAAAATTGCTCATTTTATTCTGGCAATACCGGAGCCTTACTAGTCAGCTATTCAGCTTTGAGGTTTATCTCATTTATGCTCTCGTTTACGAGAGAAAATTAAATTTGAAAAAGAAACGAGCAGCGGAGTGGAATTACATGAAAACTTGCAGCCGGGATGGCGGCTAGCTCATTACTAGCGGCCGGTGTTGCCAGATGCACAGTATTAACTTGGATAAACTTGTATTTTCTTTTGTGGACAGGAATTCTATGTAATATTGTGGCGGTTGTTACTAAGATCGGAACCCTGGTATAGCTTTTTTTTTCTTGGCTTTCGCGGTTTGCGTTAGCCACAACGGTAAGGTATAGTTTTATGAGACGCCATTTCAAATCTATGAAACTGAAGGCTTAAGGTGCCAAATAAAGGACAAATTAAATTGACCTGCATTAAGTAATTGACTCGATGCTTCTTTATCTTAATTATACTGGAAATAATTGCGCAAAATCTATTGATTTGTGTGTCCCACCTGGAAATCAAATTCAGAACATCTGGGCAATCATAGCAGCTCATAATGCCAGCATCCCTAATTGACATTACTTGCGCAAAAATAAATCTGTAAAAAAATTACTGTACAATACGAATACATAGGTTTTTGATAGGAACAAACCGTCAATTTTATCAGCAAAAAGTGAAACCACCTGCATAAAATTACATAGAGCGCGGGCGATTCTGGTTCCAACACGTCAGAGACAGCTAATTTAATTAAGTAACGACAGTGTAACAGTGCGCACCTTGCCAGTTACCGCACTGTAATCATCATTAGGACTTGCTTGCATTATGCACTCTTTCAACGATCTGTAGCTGATAATAAAGACAGTGGCTTTATTATGCTGAAAGATGTTTTGAAGAAAATGTAGAGAGCATGATTTAGATTTGAATTTATGTAAGTGTACAAATTAGAAAATGGTTGAGTTGAAGAATATTTAATTTAAAGGTTACATTTTCGATCATTAATAGATATTTTCCTGACATTCTTGGGTCATCGAGGGAAAGCCTGGCGTTACAGTCAGACAAAGTAATTAAGTATTTGTACCCGTGTAAAAGTTTAACCTTAAAACGTTTTCTAAAAGTTTAAAATTTTTAACGAAATTACCATATCATGTGAGATAGATTTGTGGCTCGCCACAAAAACGGGCCAAGGGTTCAAACGCGGGTTTACGCCAATAAAACGACTGGGGCTGCCTTAATTAAAAGAAAGCAGTATGTGCGGTGAACACAGTAATTTTTAAGCCCGTTTCTGTTTTAATATAGAGCCAATTTTCCTAGGTATTTAGCGTCATTCAGTTCGTAAAATAACAATGGTTTTCAAGAATATTAGTACAATTTAATTTAGTTAAATTAATGTAGTTTTTGGAGTGGAAACAAATACATTTA